TCCTCCTCCTCCTCCTCCTCCTCCTCCTCCTCCTCCTCCTTCTCCTCTTCCTCCTCCTCCTTTGCTTTATTTGTGTTAATGCATTTCTCAACCAAAATTTGCAAATGAGTTTTCATTGGAGTAGTTTTTGAAATTTTTCTTCAGGACAATTAGAATGTAACTCCTTATCAATGTTTGTTTAGTTCACGGGTGGCATCATGATGCTGTTATGTGACGTATTGCAACGTTTTTTCCCCTTCGCAGAGTGTGTCCTGTGCGTGATGCACCCAGGCCACAGGCCCCCAGTTTAGTTAATCACCTCAGGGATTTTTTTCAAGACTAGCATCACACTGGATTTTTTGGGACAGGTGTGTGTGTGTGTGTGTGTGTGTGTGTGTGTGTGTGTTTAGATTGATAGTGGCCTGCCACTATCATTAGTTGTTTGAGATACATTTTTGAGCAATCTATTATGATTAATTAGATGAACAGGAAAAGAATCCTTTTTAGAAAGAATTGTAATGTGGCTCATAAATCAACTTCACATATCCATTTCACATAACTGCCTTCAGACACCTGAAATACTAGTCCAAACTAGTAACCTTGGCCCCAAGGAATCCCCCCTTTCTCCTCCAACCCCTTCCATGTATCATCTGCCAAGTAACTTTTGTAAAATTTCCAGAAATTCTACAAAAATGGTTTCCCCCTCAAACTAACACATTTAAACTGAATTGATAAGCATCTTTGTTGTTGCCATATGCATCACTGCTCTTCACTTGCTAAAGGAGAATCAGAAAAAATAACCCCTCATTGGGATGAAGTGTCAGGAATTGTGGAAAAATAATATTCAGAGGGAGTGAAGTTATATGCAAGTGATAAACTACTCCTTTTTGGTTAGTGCTGAGGTATACAAACTGTCATTCAAGGTTACAAATATTGACTGTCTGTATACACAATACATAGTGTCTCTGGAAAACAGTGTTGCAGTTTATTCAGAGATTCCAACTGGTTGGAAAGTGTGGGAGGAAAGGATGGATAGTCTGTCAAAATAAAAGATGTTTACACCATTTCCTCCTTTTGGAGAAAAAAAATCAATGTTGATGCTTGTGTGGGTGTATGGCAGTGACTTTGTTGCTGATTGGCTTTGTCTTTCAATGTAGAAAGAGAGAGAGGCCAAGCTTTTTTTCAGTCTAACACAACCCCCAGATATGTAGCTTGTGTATCATATTCTCAGCTGTGGTTTCCTGCATTATCACCAATGTCCTTCTCCACTCCCTGGAATATAATGTTCATTTTACTAAGAATTTTTTTATAAAAAAACTTCATATTTATAATTGATGTTTGTTGTTTCTCCACCAGCACTTTCAGCTTTTCAAATGGTTACTTTTTTAAAAAATAGGTTAGTGGTTTTATGCATAATTATCCATTACTCTGAAAATAAGTGATAATAATCACCATAAATCAATTACAAAAGACTGCTTTACTCAGGACAGCTTATATCCTGTGACAATACCTTTAACATCATCCAACATCAACATCAGTCTATGTCAAGTCCTTGGAAAGGACTCTATAGGTGAATAAAAATGCCAATTCCAGTCTAAATATCTGACTGACTGTGCAACAATATGGATTAAAAACACCAAAATAAGTCTGAACACCTGGCTGATTGCATTGTGCAACCAACCACAATAATAACGAACTTATTGGCTGCTCAATTGTCAATGACTTTAGGATATTTTCTGTATGTGAAGAGAGCAAGAAAATAATGGAGATATAATGTAGCAATTAATGTTAAGGATGTGGTTTAAATTAGGTGTTTTCAAAAATGAACTTGGTATTTCCTGGAGCCCAAAATAAGGACCAGTCATTTATGGAGTATCTAGTTTTCTAGTTGAGTATTATATTATGACAAGCAAAATCAAAGAGCAGAATTAATCAGTTGGATTGATAGACAGATGGTCAGGCAATCTCTCTAACTCCAAATGAATGCAAATCTTGTGCCATAGACTTTAAATCTTGTGTCCAATATGCCCTCATTCAGTCCGAATATCTGAATGAGACTAAATATCCCTAACTTCCGAAAGAAAAAGTGGAGGGTTTGGCTTAAAGATAATTTTCAGAAAGTGCTCCAGACTCCTCATTAAATCTGGAGAGTGATATTGAGTGGGTTGTCACAAGGTTCATTCTTGGGACCTCTACTCATCAGCATTTTTATTAATTAGTTAGATGAAGGGATGGAGGAAATGCTGATCATTTGCAGATAACAAAAAGGTAGGGTACACAAATGATCTTGAGAAACCACATAATTTTATGGTAAAGTAATTAAGAATTTCTCACAAGCTTACAAGGTAAGGTTGACAAAATATATTAAGTCTGGATTGTTGTACTTATAGAGCTTTAATATCATGCTTCAGAACCAGAAGTTTCCCAATAATTATATTTTTAGCTGAAGATTTAAATCTTTATATATTACTAAGTCAGCCAGGAAAATTTTTCTTCCAAATGGAAGTAATTTTGTTTTTTCTCTAAAACCGAAAATACTACATAAGGCAAGAGTATGATTTTTCTTTTGAGAGCTTCATTCTGAACCATCTCCAAGTTGTAAGAAAATATTCAGATTTGTTAAACTTCTATAGTTCTGGGATTCAGGAAAAATCTGTTCATTTTATGACAGATTGATAATGAACAGGTTTTTATTTTACAGTTTTGTCTTTCCTAATTAATATGAATAAATATGACAATTGCCATTTTTTTCCTATTGGAAACCACCTGGAAAAGTGTTTTTAACATTAAAATCATTTTAGAAATTTAATGAAATTATTTTCCTAGACCAAGAAATTACTTTTTTCCCCCTTTTACGGGGAAACAAAAATCAGCTTCTTTGCCAGATATTGTTCTTAGATTGTTTGTCTTTTTTAGATGTGGTATTAGAGAAGGCCATGCATAAATGCATCTTGAAACCCCTCAAGGACCACATCGAGATGATGTTGAAAGAATTCCACACAGCTGATGGCTCATGGAAACAGTTGAAAGAAAATCTTCAACTTGTCCGGCAGCGAAATCCTCAGGAGCTGGGTGTTTTCGTCCCAACACCAGATTTCGTAGATGTTGAAAAGATTAAAGTCAAATTCATGGCAATGCAGAAAATGTACTCTCCTGAAAAGAAAGTTATGTTGCTACTAAGAGTATGCAAACTGATTTACACTGCGATGGAAAACAATTCAGGTAAATGTTAGATTTGGCCAAAGAGTTTTAAGTTATTCAGAGATGTTTCTGCAAAATGAGAACCATTTCATCTGCCAAAAAACCCTCACATTTTCTTTACTTTTGATATATTGTAATATCATACACTGCTATAGTATTTTAGACAGTCTAAATTTTGGCTTCAGATGAGGTAAGGTGACATACTTTTTTCCAAATCTTGATGCAATTCAGACTGTATCAGATTTCTGTTAGAATTGAGCTAGATATGTTGAATGTGTTGGGGAAAAATAAGAATTTTAGTTGTCATTAACCATGCTTCAGATTTCCTTTGGTTAATACTTTATAGAGGCAATTATAAAGATGCTTATTGGTCTGAATTTAAATGATGTATCAGTGTTGTATGAGAAAGGCTGTTCATATTTGTGCCAACTCACATTGTTTTTAAGCACCAAAATAATTTTTTGAGAGTCAAAATAACAAAATAAACATATGCAATATTCTGTGCTTCTTTGGAAATTGCAGTTATGCTCCCACTTCTATATTCAGTCCAACCCGTATATTCATTCAATAAACACCATTGTAATTGCTGCTGTTGTGTTACTGTAGGGTGTTGAAGGGTGTTACAAAGTGCTAAATGCAAAAGTCAACTATTTTTATATGGGATGGTTAATAATAGCTTAGATTCTTTGGTATCTCCATATGTGATATAACATCTTAGCAGATAAGTCCCAAACTGACCCATTTTCCAGTCCTGATAGTGCAAGAATTATGTTATGGAGTTTAATTACTTGAAAACTTTTGAGGATATTTACTAACATGAATGGATGAATGAGATTCTTTGATATAAAAAAATGTAGGTTTTTTAATCAATTGTTTCCAGAGATACTACTCCTCTTTTACCAGTCAAAAATCCTAAGTAAAATCAGCAAAAATAAAGCATTAAAATCATGTATTGGTGATTTTGAAATCTACTTTCATACACTCCAATAACATGAAGAGTTAGGATGAGCCAACTTCTAAAATTAGTTAATAGAAGGCTATGAAGCTAATCAGGACCTTACAATATCAGGTTGTCAAATTTGTATGGATCAGTGGTTTGATTCATGAAGTGTTTCAATATGTGAATAGGAGATAATTTGCTTAAAATTTTGAGCTATTTATTCTTAATGTATTGGTTCTGTATTATATCCTGCTTCCATTCCTTAAGGAACTCTGTTGAGACATGGGTATTGAGAGCATCTAAACGATATCAGAATAAATTCCTACTTTATAAGCAAAGTTAAGGCTGCATCCAAAAGCTCCATGAGTTCCTATAAACCCCAGAATGTATTCAGTGACAGTATTATAGGTATCTGAATGTTGTCATGGATAAAAATGAAAATGGAGAGCACAGTTTTTATAATGGAGAACAGCAAAAAGATCTGGCAATTAATTCTGCTATTGTTTGTGTCCTGCCTCTCTACATTTCCTATCCTTTCCCTAGGGAGAATGTATGGGGCTGATGACTTTTTGCCAGTGCTAACCTATGTTGTGGCTCAGTGTGATATGCTGGAGTTAGATGCTGAAATTGAGTACATGATGGAACTGCTGGACCCATCCTTGCTGCATGGAGAAGGTAATGTCCTTGAAACTTTCAGGATGATGACTTGTCTCCCAGGAATGTGATTACTAATAGTATGTCTAAATAGAGAAACTTGAAAAGTATGCCAAGGCTTCTAACTTGTTACCAACTACTTATCAAAAAAGCCCCACAAAACAAAACAAAACAAAACAGAGATAACCAAACCAAATAAAATTAAAAGTATTTTTCCAAATGCTATGAGAAGTAAAAGGAGGGCATTTTTTAATCAATGAAGTGTGTGTCTATGTGTCTGTATGTGTATACTTGGAAACTGGAAAATCTGTTAGCCTGTTAATTTAGATTATAATAGCTACAGTATGTTAACACATATTGCTTGAACAACAAGTCTGATTCCATGTGACTTTCCTCACAACAAAGCAAACAAGCTATATCTCTTGTGATATCCAGTTGTGTTCCTGAAAGTCTTCCTTATTGCATTTCAGCAATGTGGGAAAGGGTTTTTTTCATATTTATATTTTTGAGTGTCAATTAAAAATTATCCTCCTGTATTATAGAAGTGAATTACTTCAGATTTGCATTTCCATTTTGGAAGCCAGGAAAGTCTACAGAATAGCCTGGGTGCCAGAAGTTGCCATGGTTAGATGATGTAGACATTGGTATTTGAATATTGATCTTTCTCCCATGAGCTGTTCAGAGCATCCAGAAGTGGGAGGTGCTTCAGTCTCTTCTGGAAAGGCTGGGCTTAAAACTCCGGGACGCTCCTCCTCCTCCACGGGACTCCTCCTCAGCGTCCCCCAGTTTTAGCTCAGCCTTTGTGGTAAGAGGTTGTGCACTCCCTGACTGGAACGGTTTCTGATTCAGCTAGTCAAGATTCAGGCTTGCTCTTGGGTTAATTCGGCTTGCAAATTTCCCCCCCTATTAATCTGGCGATTTCAAGGCTTGTGGCTCTATTAGGTTATTCCCCCAATCAGTTGAGAGCAGCTCTTTGTGACTGGCGGAGCCTGCCACTTCGCAGGCAGTCTGAGACGGCCGCTTCAGGCAATTAGCCTATCTAATTCCCTGATCGTCTTATCTTTGCGATCTTGCCGGAACGCTCGCAGCCGCGGCTCACTTCTCTTTACAGGATCACTTGTCTGACATTTTGGAGAGTCAGTCACCCAGCCCAGACAGGCTATTTCTGGACAGCCTCCCATAGGCATATCTCCTCCAATGAGCACTGCCCGGTGAATCCCAGAGGCAACCTTTACCCCTATGGCCGCCGGTTTAAGACAGGAGGAGGGATTACCTGAGACTATTCCCATCGAAATGAGGCAATGGATGGAGATGGCCATACAAAAGGGCATTGCAGCTGAAGTTCAGCAATCCATCCAGACCAGACACTTTTTGGCTACTTCGGAAGCAGGATCCCTGTCTGCTCAATCCTTTGCGCATATGGGACATCATCAAACTCAGGTATTCCCCAATATCCCTGACATACCAGTCCAGGATCTTCGGGAGGAGGTGGAATTAGATGACCAGGATGTTCCCATGGAGGTGGGGTCGATCCATCAGATGGACTTGGGGTTGTCAGACGCTGACCCACTAGAATGAGGAATGTCGGATGACGAAGGCCTCATTCTGGACCAACCTACCTTTTCTGGCCTTTTTCATCCACACCTCTTTAAATCTTTACTGTTCAAAGCAAAGAACACCGCTAAACTAGGCACAACAAGCCCTCATCCATTGTCAACAGGGTCTCAGGACGAAACCGAGGATCTAATATTCTCACAACCGCTAATGAGGCAGAAACTATTCTTGTCCCTCGTATGTTTGCTGAATTAGTACAAAATCAATGGGCATCAGCAGCATCCTACCCAGCCTCAACAGGGTACGATAAACGATATTATAATTTGGCACCAGAGTTTTCAAATTTTCTCAAAACGCCGGAGGTGGATGAGCCCATTGTGGCACTGGCCTCTTCTTCAACCTTTCCCAACAAGGCCGAGGAAGTCCTGAGACCGGAGGAAAAGAGAGCAGAGTTGGCACTCCGTAGGGCGCATGTTTCTGACGCCTGGGCCATTAGGGCAGCTACAGCTGCATCCTTTTTTACACGGTCCTCCCTATGATGGCTCTTCCACTTGAGAGATATATTGCCGGCATCAAATGTCAGAGTCCACCAGGACATTGCTAAGATTATTGCAGCGGCAGAATTCTCCGCCGACGCCACATTTAATACAGTCAAATTCTCGTCTAGAGCCATAGCATCTCATGTATCAGCACGGAGACTGCTATGGCTCAGACATTGGCATCCGGATACCAAGCATAAATGCAAGCTGGCATCAGCCCCAATATCGGGGGATAAATTATTTGGCAGTGTCTTGGAGCCCCTGCTTATTGAGAATAGAAAGAAGAAGAAAGTGCTTCCCCCTCTTTTTCGGAGGTCTGAAAACAGAACGCCCCAGTCTTTTCGAAGGGGTTCCTTTCGGACCTACTATCAAGGCCCATACGTTCCCAGATCGTAAAGAACATCAGACTACAGACCCAGTTTTAGAGAAGATAGGTCAGAATCTTCCGACAGAGGTCAGCGGGGAGGCCAAAACAGAAGAAACCCCAGAGGTACCGGAGGCCGATTTTTTCGTCGCCTCAAGTGAGTCCTTGACAGCAGCTCCCATTGGAGGGTGGCTAAAATTGTTTGCTGATCAATGGGACAGCTCCACCACTGATGCGAGGGTCAGGGACTCTGTTAGGTTTGGTTTGGTGCTAGAGTTTCAATCCTCCCCTCCGAACTTTTTCATTAGGAGCCCTAGGTCCACGGACCCCATTAAGGGACCGTTGATGCAGGAGGCTATCAATCATCTTCTGCATATTCGGGCCATTAGAGAGGTCCCATCTGAACAACGGGGTCAAGGCTGTTACTCTCTATTGTTTGTGGTCCCAAAGAGTTTGGGGGGCTGGAGGGCAATTCTGGACCTCAACGTCTGAACAGATCATTGGTTTATCAAAAATTCAAAATGACTACTCTCCAGTCCATTCTGCTCAGCATCAGAGAGAACGATGTCCTGACCTCTATAGATCTGACAGAGGCTTATCTACATATACCAATTAGACCTGCTCACTACAAATACCTTAGATTTTGCTATTGTGATCGGCACTACGAATATATCGCTCTACCATTCGGTCTGACTTCGGCCCCTAGGACTTTTACCAAGGTTCTAGCGGCTTTGGCTGCCTTCCTCAGGATCAAATCTATTCGTTTACAATGTTATCTGGATGATATTTTAATTTTGTCATCTTCCAGACATCAAGCAAATTTGGATACCAAGATTACTCTGGAGACCCTTCAAGGTCACGGCTTTTCCATAAATTGGGATAAAAGCCATTTGATCCCTTCAACTAGGTTAGTTCATTTAGGGGCAGTGATAGATACCGTGGAGGGCAAGGTTTTTCTCTCTCAGGACAGGTTGAAGAGTATCCAGTCTTTGGCCAAAGAGATCAGAGCCTTAAAGAGGGTTTCCCTGGCATTGCTGTCTCAACTGTTAGGGAAACTGATTTCTTGTATTTCCATTGTGCCTTGGGCTCGATTCCATTCTAGAGATCTGCAATGGTTCCTGCTACCTTTCCAGCGATCTGGAAGAGCCACTTCCAACGTCCGGATAAAGGTACCGCACAATGTTCTCCGATCACTCCGCTGGTGGTCAGAAAACATGATAAAAAAGGGGTGTCCTTTCAAGGAACCTTGCAGGGCAACGATCACAACCGATGCCAGCCTGGTAGGATGGGGAGCTCACTTCCAATCCCACACTGCGCAGGGAATTTGGACTATTTCCGAACAATCACAAAGCATCAACCTGTTGGAGCTGCGAGCAGTTCATCTGGTGTTACACAGTTTTCTACCCCTTTTCCAATCATGCCACATTCTGGTCTTGACAGACAATATCACAACCAAGGCCCACGTAAACAGACAGGGGGGTACCCACTCCAAACTTCTGATGCTGGAGACGGCCAGGTTGTTCAAGTGGGGCGAGGCCAATCTGTTGTCGCTCAAGGCAGAGCACATAGCAGGGGCCTAAAACACACAAGCGGACTGGTTCAGCAGGGCCTCGATAGATCTGGCAGAGTGGCGCCTACACCTGTCTCTCTTCCAGGAAGCAGTGCGGAGGTTTGGGCAACTGGTGATCGATCTATTTTCCTCTCCCCTCAACGCCCAATTGCCCCGGTATATTTCAAGGTACCCGACTCAGGGGGCGGAGGCCGTCAATGCTCTGCGATGTCAGTGGCCTCCCGGACTTCTATATGCGTTTCCTCCACTCCCTGTAATACCCAGGTTGATCCAGAAGTTATTGGAGGAACGAGCGGAATTGATATTAGTTGCCTCTTACTGGGCCAGGCGAATGTGGTTCGCGGACTTACAGGACCTGTCGAGAGAACAACCTTGGAAAATTCCACCGTCGAGGGTTTCCCTCTCGCAAGGGACGGTACTTCACCCGGACCCACAATGGCTCAGCCTAGCCGTATGGAGGTTAAGTGGAGCCATTTAAGGACCCAACAGATTCCAGAGGATGCCATTGCCACCATACAAGCATCCAGACGGTCCTCAACAAATCGTATATACGAGGCCACGTGGTCCGCTTTCTGTCGCTGGTGCCGGGGGTCTAAGATCGACCCAACAATAGGACAATTATTGGACTTTTTACAGGAGGGGTTGACCAAGGGCCTGTCTCCAAATACTTTACGCAGACAGGTGGCGGCCTTAGCCTCGGTGATATCCTGGGGTGACCTTCGTTCCATACCGCACCATCCACATGTCCGCAGCTTTCTTAAGGGTGCTGTAAACTTACGACCTCCTGTAATTCACCACTATCCCACTTGGGAGCTCAACAAGGTGTTAACCGCACTTACAACTGGCCCATTCGAGCCTTTAAGAACCGCTAGTCTCAAATTCCTGACATATAAGGTGTTCTTCTTAATTGCGATCACATCAGCAAGGAGGATTTCCGAGTTGGCAGCATTGTCGATGAGAAAGGACCCGTGCGTGTTTCATGCGGACAGAGTGGTTCTCAGATTGGATCCATCATTCATCCCTAAAGTAAATTCAGCCTTCCACAGAGCGCAGGAGTTGGTGCTTCCAAATTTTTGTCCTAAACCATCTCATAGACTGGAGCATCAATGGCATCGACTTGACGTTCAAAGGGCATTAAGCATCTATCTAGACCGCACGGCGGCATTTCAAAAATCTGAAGCTCTATTCCTATCCTTCAACCCATCCACTTTAGGACACAGGGTGTCGTCGACAACCATTGGTAGATGGCTGAGAGCCACCATAGCTAAAAGTTACAAATGCCAGTCCATCTCAGTTCCTAAGGGCATTACAGCCCACTCGACAAGGAGTGCAGCAACATCAGCAGCATGGGCCACTCGGGCTTCCATAGACGAAATCTGCAGAGCGGCGACTTGGGCTTCACCATCGCCCTTTGTCAGAAATTATAAAATTGATGTCTACGCCTCAGCAGACAATTCATTTGACAGAAGAGTCCTGCAGAGGGTCCATAGAGTTTATGAGTGGATTTCGATCCAGATGGAGTCCCTCCCTAAGGACAGGCCAAGCTTTGGTATGTCCCACTTCTGGATGCTCTGAACAGCTCATGGGAGAAAGGGCATTGGTACTTATCTGATACACCCGTTCTCTGTGAGCTCTGAAGAGCATCCAGCCCCACCCATTTCTTTCCGTCTGGTGAGGTTCCATTCCGGTCAGGGATCTAGATTAGGTGATGAGTCCCGGACTTTGGCACTCAGTCTTCGCAAAACTGGGGGACACTGGGGAGGTGTTCTGTGGAGGAGGAGGAGTGTCAACAACAGCACTGAAGAGAGTTCACTAGTATTTGTCTTCCACTAATCAAAAGTTGGCATTAGAAACCTTAGGTTTGTTCAAGAGACATAATCCTGAAAATTTCATACTCAAAATAAACAGGAGTGATATTAAAAGGCCATTAAGGAAGTATTCCTTGTTATTCTTTTTTTTTTTCAATTCCAGTATTCTTTATTTTTTTCAAGACTTTTATTTATTTATAGGATTTATATGGCCACCTATCTCATAAATGAGATAGCTCTCAACAATCCATAAAATATAATTAAAAACATACCACCACCCCCACCACCCCGAGCTAGACCAAACCTTCTCACAGTTCAAGCCCCCATGTTAGACCAATGCTTAGGGGAAAGCTAGGTCTTCATATATCTCCCAAAGTCTAAAAAAGTAGGGGATCCCACTGATTTCTGGTGGGAGATTGTTCCAAAGGCCTGGGGCAGCCACTGAGAAGACATGCCTCCAAGTTAAATTGCAGCATTGAAGGAGGGAACTGGAACATACTCACCCTATCTAATCTAGTGGGATGAACAGATATCCTTGGGAGAGGTAGTCCCACAAGTAACCCAAGCCAATTGTTCATATCCCATGCAGAGATTCTTCTTACTCTCCCCAATGTGTGTGAACTCCAGGCAGAACACACAAATGTCCTAAGTTATGCCTCCCCAACAATGTGCTGCATTCATGTTCTTGCAGCCCTGTCACAGGCATTATTATATTCCCTGAGTGGATTTTTGCATATAGGCACAACTGGTCCTGTGCAGAGATTTTCTCCCAGTCTACATGCAGATTCTATTGATTTAATACTTGATTTGGAGTTCCCTGGTCTCAGGAAAAGATACAGCTGCTTTAAAGTGAAAAGGAGGGCTGAGAGAAACGGCAGAGAAGAGTTTCTAATTTAGGATGATCTCAGTCATAGCTGGGTCTTTGAACCAGTGCATTGTATTAGTGTCTTCCAACAGTGAGGCTGCTACTTCTTTTACTGCTTTTTCAGCTTTTTGTATGTTACCCTTTAGATATACAGGTCGATGATTTTGTCAGAACAGGCATGTTGTGAGAAAGAAACATGAGTAGTGTCTCTCTCCAGTCTGTATTAATGTAGACAAAACCGTATTTGTCTTAGCATGTGCATAACCTCTAGGAGAAAACCATATAAACATATAAAACCCTATTCTCTATAAATATATGTTTACTCTTCTGTTGGGAATAAGTAGCATTCAAGTAATTGCAAGCATTTTCAGGAGATACTTGCATTTTAAATAGGGCCTAGAGTATGTCTTCCATTCTAAGGAACTATTTCTTTAGATTTCTACGCTTTCCATGATTTGATCCAGCATGAGTCTGGAACAGAGAAAAACATTCCAGAGACTCTTTCCCTCCAGTCCCAAGACAGATGAAAAGAAAAGAATGCCAAAGCAGTTAAATCTGGAAAGAAACTTCTCTTTCCCGGGGAGAAAACAAAAACAACTTCGACTCAGCTGCTTGCCAAGAGGCTGGATTTGCTACTCTTTCAGTCTTTCTCTCTCCCAAAACCTTGGTGGCTGAGGAGAGGCAGGCACAATTCTCTTTCTGTTGAAAGAGCACCATACTTAGAGGGGTTGAGAGAAATGACCCCGAACTCCAGTCACTTGATAATTCCTGAGGACATTCCTCAGGGCTACACCTTCAGCTGCACACAAACGTATGTGTGAATGCATACAGTAGCACGTATATGCACGTGGATATATTACTCTTGCACATATACATCCTCTCTCTCCCCCACAGATTGCTATGTTTTGTTCCCAATATGGTTTGTAGTGCTTTTTAACCTTTCTCATTTAGAAAGAAAAGATCTGATTCATCTCTTTTACTTCCCCCCACTCTAATTTTTTTTTCTTTTTGGCTTTGAAACAGTCTTTAAAAATGCTACTGCCTTAGATAAATCAATTCAGTTTTCTAGACAGCAGTTTGAGAAGCACCGTTGCCTTCTTCCTAGAGCTTAGAGCAAGGGTCTTCAAATGTTTAAGACTTGTGGACTTCAACTTCCAGAATTCCTGAGCTAACATGACTGGAAGAGGAATTCTGGGAGCTGAAGTCCACAAGTCTTAAAGCTGTCAAGTTTGAAGACCCCTGGCTTAGAGGGAGTGACTGTCCCAAAGTTATCCAGCTACCTTTCATACTGAAGGAGAGACTTAGAGCTCAAGTTCCACCATTCCTAGTCCAGCATCTTAATCACTAAATCGATCTGGTTTTACTCCTAGCGAAATTCAAACTGATCAAGTGAAAAGCAAGCTCCCACCACACTCTGCCAGAGACTTTATGTGGGTCATAGACTCTCAATTTAGTCATCCCTGCTTTTAAGTGATAATGTAAAGCTTCTGATTTACCTGCTGTATTTGTGCATAGCTAACAATAGATGAAGATAGAAACTAAAGGAACAGAAAAGTTTTAATTCGCCATTGGCATAACTATTTTGAAGCCTCCTTTTTGTAAAGATCTTTTTCTATGTGAGCATTTCTGCTGCAAAACTTCTCTCCTTTGTAGAAGATTTAAACATGTATCTTCGGTATTCGTGACATTTCAACAGATCTCTTAAACCTCGCTAGAGTCTAAATAAATAATATACTATTATTTTTTACAGTGCTGTGCTATAGTGGAAAACATAGTAGATAAATACCCAATAAAGAGGACTCCTCACTGAGAATCCCTAACAGATTTCTGAGAAATCTCAGGACTCTGACAGGTTTCCAAATAACTGCCAAATTATTTTATTTCAGTTTCTTCCAAATTAATATTTCATGGAAATTATGGATATGGTTAGATTTATTCCTTCACATGTAACCAATTCATTAATAATGACTTCTCTCCTTGTAATTTTCACAGGAGGCTACTATTTGACAAGTGCATATGGAGCACTGTCCTTAATTAAGAATTTCCAAGAAGAGCAAGCAGCCAGGCTGTTGTGTTCAGAGGCCAGAAATACTCTCAGGCAGTGGCATAAGCGGAGAACAACAAACAGAACAATCCCATCTGTTGATGATTTTCAGGTATCATTTATGTTTCCCAGAAAATGATATTTTCCTGTTTAGGACAAGATAGAAGATTGGTGTTATAGAGCGCAGAGCACAGTACAGATTATTTCCTCTGGCTGACGTTAGTTAAGCAACCCTTCCTTTGAAAAAATCAAATACAACATATCAGTTACATTCAGAATTAAAAATGGGGAGAAAGATTTCACTCAACTTACAAAAAACATACAAGAGATGCATGTGGTCTTATCCTAAGTCTTGGCCTAATGACTGCAACTAGGACTATCAAAACCGCCAATACCAAGGAGTGAGATCATGTGATATTTTTCTTATTAACCACATTGCACACTGATGGAAATTTCAGTCCCAGTTAGGGCTGTTAAGTGAGGATTACCTGTATTATAAGGGCAAATTGTATTCTAGCATGCATACTTTGCATTTCTTTCCTCACTTCTTTATCAACTCCTTCCTTCCACCTCTTTTTTTTTTTTCCTGAACCCAACATATGTTCCCTCAGAGTCTTTGCAATGCTCATTTGCATATTAATATTATGCAACACCACTCTGAATAATATCTTCCTACTTTGATGATGATGATAGTGATGACAATGACAACAACAACAATAATAATACCCTTGTTTGTACTGGTGCAAAATGCAGCATTGGATGCTTTGTTCCCGAGTATACATTTTAATTTTTTCCATATATTTTCCCCCTCCCCAGAACTACCTACGAGTTGCATTCCAGGAAATCAACAGTGGCTGCACAGGAAAAACATTGCTAGTGAAGCCATATATTACTACAGAAGATGTGTGTCAGCTCTGTGCTGAGAAGTTTAAAGTGGATAATCCTGAGAACTTTAGCCTGTTTCTTTTTATTGATGACACTTGGCAACAACTGACAGAAGATACCTATCCCCAAAAAATCAAAGCTGAACTGCACAGTCGACCACAGCCTCAGGTCTTCCATTTTGTGTATAAACGCATCAACAGTGATCCTTATGGGGCAATATTCCAGAATGACAACCGTGACCAAAATACATAAAGATAATTATTTTAATTGTTATATAAACTGACTGGGAGTTGAAATTAAATGATCATATTCTCTAAACCCTACTGATTAGTACAAGTATGAATGATGAATTACCATCAGTGATTATACATAGTCTACAAAAAATATCGTGATCCAGCTTTACGGGCTCTTTGAAAGCAAAATATAGCATTCACCAATTGTAACCTGGCACTGTGGCTTCTCAGATGTTCTGCAGTGCCATCATTTGCAGATCTGTAGAGGGTTTTATTCATATCTTTATTTTATGCATTATTTTCCATTGCATATGCAGTGGATCCAACTTCTTTTAAACTAACTGTTAGGTTGACCATTTAATCAGTGTATAAATGCATTATTTTCCGATGCAGAGCATCAGTAAAAATATGGATAACTGCCTTTTTTACAAATAGTTGCTTTATTATTATTTTATTGAAAGCAACTTTTTATATATATATTTCAAGAAATTTTATAGCAGTTGCAGGTAAACTGTCATGTTTGTAAAGTATTTTTTTAATGATAAAATATTCTATAATTATGCATGTGATTTTAACACAAAATAGAAAATAAATCTCTTGCTGGTTTTAGAGTAAGTGATGTTTTTTATTTAATTATGTATTCATATCTAGCTTTCTAAAATGTCAAACCATATTTTAAAAAATGATTTTGTAAGCAGCTTATTTTCACAATTGGTTATTCAGACTTCAGTTATAAGATGGTTATGTCCGACAGTCATGTTTTTGGAAAAGATGGATATATCAGTTAGGTTTGTCAAAAAAAGAGAGTAGGTTTGGTTTAAGAATCACATATATTAGGGAAGAAGAAAATTGAAGAAACTACTTGGATAAGTAGTGAAACCTTTCAAACTAAAAAAGAAAAGAAGTCCATTTGCCATGACTCAACTTCCAGGCATAGAGTAGGGAAATGTTGAGAATCAGTAGAGTTTTTTTGGTCTTTATTTATTTTCTTTTTCTCCTGAGTAGCTCAATACATATTTGCAGAATTGTGTTTTAGTTTTCAGGACAGTCTGTCACTATATCAAACATATTGTGAAACTATATTTCGTCTGACGTATAAGACTTCTTCTAAAACATGAAGAAATTTGTGAACTAATCATTTTTATTTTTAAAACAGTATGGCTGTAGAAATACCGCTTAGACATCTGTTGTGTTAAAGACAGCAGGAAAATAAGTTGATCAGTTAAAGGTTTTGTCAAAATTCAGAAGCAAGCACCACTATTAAAACTGTAAATTTTGCTTTCAGTAGGAATTTTGGTAGAAATTGTACTCTTCTACTTAAATATATGAGTGAAGAATTTGCATTAATCTGTACATTCAGCAGATTTACCAAGGTAAGAGGTGACAGAACAGTAAACACTCTTTCAGCTTACATTTGTGTATGTCATCTGTTTTTAAAACATTTTCTTTAAGTTCCCAAACTACACAAATTCTGTCCGTTCATAACTAGCAAGGTTCCACACACACCCATAGGCAACATCAACTGCAGTGTAAAATTTGTGGGGGAACAACTTTGTCCCTGCAGCAATTAAATTGTTGAAGGCTAAAGTTCTTGGCCTGAGGCTGTATGAATGTCAGATGTGTAGTATTTACAAAAAGTTTTTATTCCTTGAATGAATATAAACAAAATTCTTAAAATAAATACCACATACCTACCTCACAAGGTTGTGATTATGGGGAAAATCAGAGGAGGAAGAAGTGTTATGAATGTTTGTCACCTTACTTATAAATATAAAGGGATAAAAAAATCTAATCACAAAATAAAAATAAATATCCCTTACTCAATTTCTCGTTTCATTTGTTAACAAAAAGATCTAACTTTTAAGGTTTGAAACTGAATGTATCACAATAACAGTCAGAAAGCAACTGCTGAAGTGTAAAATTATGACTTCTTCAGGAAGCAAAGAATCACAGAGATTAAACAGTTGGCATTCAGTGAGAAAAGTTTCAAATAAGAGATAATAGTAAGAGATAAACATGGGCAAGATTTTGAATCACTTTCTTTAACAAAAAGTGATGCCTCATTTTCTATGTAAAAAAAGAGAACAACTTGCTGCATTTGGAAGATAAATTTTCCTAACTAGGCAATTTAATATTTAAATGCATGCCAGAACAATGACATTAAAACTCTTTTAAGTGTGACAATCCAGCACTTACATAATAAATTACTGAAAATGCTGAATTATATATCTCCATTTGTAAAAACAAACAAACAAAAAACCCTCTTCCATTATTCTATAACTGGACAATTAGAATGCCTTGCAAGTTTCTGAGGAATTATTACAGTATCTGAATACTCTGGAGATATCAAAATATCTGACCTATATATGCTAGTATGTTCTGTTACACAAGATGTGTATGCTTTATGTCAATTTGCCGTGTAATTGTCAGTTCAATGAATTTTTGTTTAAGTAAATGATAAAACAAACCTTCTCTACATGGTAAGGCAATCATACATGGGCTGAATAAATCGAGATAACAGCTGGATAGCAATAGAGACACAGAACATTCTACCTCTTTGCTGCCACCTATTGCCATCTGGATTTTTCTTACCCAGACTAACATTGCAAATATATTTTTGTCAATATGCATAGGATTATGCTGCAAATAAAGCTATTGATGAAACTGCTTCCAACTAAACAAGCATATACTTGTTTCAAGTTGTGTTAAGTTTTTCTATAAGTAATATTTTGTCCATATATAATGATAAAAGCCCCTTTAATATACTATAGCCCAGGGATACAGTATTGACATTGGCACTAAAGAAAACATTTTCTCATAAAGCAATAGTTTTGAAAAAATTCATCTCCACTCCATCAATTGTTAAAGCAAGAAGCTAACTGCAAGTTCAGAGACAGAAGATTGATACTCTTCAATGGTAACAAATACCATTTTGGAGTATACAGAAACAGATTACTTATCTTTTTAGTTCTCTAAATTAGTTACCTATAAATATACACAAATTGAAGGCTCAATGTTTAGTTTTGCTAAACAGCCAAAAGGAGGAGCAAGGACATGCAATAAGAGTGACCAGAGATGTTCAGTCAGATACGCCTATCGGCACAAGGTCTGGAAACAGGAAATCTGAGCTCATATATTCCACCCACTCAACCTTTTGTAGTTGGAAGAAGGAAGATCAGTCACCACAGAGGCCAAGAAAGAAGACCTAGGATTCAAACTCACACTATGTACATATTTTAATAACCTATTTGACTCTGCCCTATGCATATCATGGATAAACAACACTTAGCTATAGATGACTCAAGGAACTAAGAGGTGTCACAAGAGTGGTTATTACAAGTTGAATCTCAGACTTCATTATTTTTAATTCAAAATTAGTTTGATCAGGATCATAGGCCCCATAAGTGGGATGACAAAAATTTAGTCCATCCCCAAATTATTTTCTGTGCCCAAAACAAGAGTAGTTGGAGAATATAATTTTTACAGCCTTTCTTCAACTGTATTGGAGCCTAAAAGTGATAACTAATTACAGTAAAAGTTAAGTTTCTCTCTTAAATCTAGACAATGGGCCATGAATCTGAATTCTATTTGAATCAATTGGGGAGTGAACTCCATCAAAATCTAAAAATAAGTTTCTGAACTGAACATATGAAGGCTGGGACTTTTGTTGCAATAGTATGATCCTCGCTTCTTCCAAAAGATGCTTTAATTGGATCTGGACCAAAAGAAAAGTCAATATGGATCTAGTGGGATGATTTTTACATAGTATTCCGCTGAAGCTGTCATCTAACATCACATAAGATGTTTTATAGAGAATAAATTATTACTGGGCATTCATATAACCATTATTTTAGAGCTACGATGATGCAAGTATATGGATCCAAAGCATGGATCCTCTTCATTTTTTCAGTTTCCACTTAAACCACAGCATATAGACAAATGTCACCTGTGACCCAACAGTAGATTCCAAGAAAAAAAAAATGAGACTGTCTACAATTTTATATTTTTAGATGCATCCTGACAATCTATCAAAATCCCTGCTTTAATCCCATCCTTAGGATTTATTCTTCAGATCCATATTTTTGAATTGGGGTATAAGAAATAGATGAATTCATTATTATTTCCTCTTCTATGCAAATGGAGATTTTCAGTGATTTAATGGTTCCTAGACAAAATATAAAAATATAAAAAATATATAAAAAAAGATGGGTTTATGTTATGTCCCTTGAATCCACATTTTAATGCACTTAAGTATAACAATAAATAAGTCTGAACTCTGATTTTTACCAGTTTCTTCATTCAGGCTATTGTGTTCTATGACTTCTCTATAGTTTTTATGGTAAAGAAAATATGTGTGTTAAAAAATCAAAATCAAATAACATAAATAAAAAAATGCAGTGCCTTAGAGCCACACTATCAAAAACTGTTAAATGTTTAATTGTTGCGAATTGTCCATAGTTTGATGGTTTCAGATTTTGAGAAAAAAATGATCTGAAACAGAAAGGGTACGTGCTGATTTTTCCGATTTCCAGTTTGGTAATGCACAAAAGTTTTAGGGGGAAAGGATTTTGTCATGTTGCTTAGTAATCTCTTTTGCTTAAATCAGATAAATTTCGGAAACGAAACCCAGGAACAGTTGTGCAATGCCTATGATTGCTGTATCCCTGAAGGAAAACCGTCATTAGAGAAACTTCATTCAACCTAGACTATGTCGGACACTTCGAAATCCCGGGGTGTTTTAGTGCCCACTAAGAACAAAGAAAAACTTTGCAACAAGACGAAGCCGCTCTATTCTAAAGTATATGGAACCGAATCTAATCTCGGATCTAAAAATACAGTAGTGATCGTAATTGGGCTGTTCTATTGTGCTGCCCTTTGACAGCTGTTGCCAAATGCATCTGTCCCAATCTGCTTGGCATTCTGACCACGAGTGCGGCAATGTTTTATGCCTCGAAACCCTTTAGATTCAGAATTATTGGCAGCCTAAATAAACGGCGTAGATACCCTTCAAATGGCAAAACAGCTCAGTGTTTATGAACGTGGCAACTTGTAGACGTGGGGACTTCAATTCCCAGAATCCACCAGTCAGCTATTGCCTAGGAAATTCTGGGAGTTGAAATCCACGCATTTTCAAGTTGCCAAATTTAAAACAAAACCCACTAAACTGCTTCAGTGGCTTCTTCGCGAGTGAATGACGACGTTACTGTGCCTATAACCGGAACAGAAAACGAAGGGGAATCGTAACCGACTACCGTAAATAGAAGTTAAAGTAGGGAATGGTTACTACTCTAATTTAGTATCTGTTTGTTCCTCTTACGTTCGACACTAGGGGGCGGAGCATTACGCAAACTGCTTAAGTCCCTCCCGGTTTGAGTGAACATAGAGAAAAGTACTTCCGGGTCGATGGGTACGCTGTTCCCTGCATATGCTTGCTTTGGGCGGTTTTTTCAGCGGGGGAGATCTGAAGGTCAGAAGAATTCAAAGGGTAGCTCCCGCAGGAAAGCAGCAGCACCACCAATTGCAGCCACAATATTGCCAATACAGAATTCATTTGTTTCTTGCCCCGTGGACGTTGCCTGCAATTGCAGAGGCTTGAGGTGGAATCACCAGGAAAAACAATATGTTCAGGGTGGGATACTAGAAATCATCTTTTCCCCCAGCTAAAAAAACACGAGATATTACGGTGTGTGTGTGTGTGTGCATGGTTGGATGTGGCATTAATGATATTGCGGTGTGTGTGTGTGTGCATGGTTGGATGTGGCATTAATGTTTGCAGAAAGACTGT